TCTCCATCTTTCTTTTTAGCAAAGAGGGCCGGTGCTCCCCACGGCGAAACACTAGGGCGGACAAAACCCTTATCTAGCAATTCCTGGAGCTGAATCTTCAACTCACTTAACTTGGCTGGGGCAAAACAATAAGGTGCCATAGAAATCGGCGCCGTGCCGAGCACTAAATCAATAGAGAACTCTATCTCTCGGTAAGGTGGCAAACTAACGAGATCTTCAGGAAAAACATCCGAATACTCACAAACCACCCTCGGCAACACAGTCTGGGTCTCACTGCACTCACTACTCAAAAAGCTATCAAGTAGACCACTAAGCTCATTCCGCTCTCGCGGATCATACATCGGTGGCAACACACTACCAACCCGATCCCCCAAGAAATGGAAACACTCCCCGCTCAAGGTACAAACTGTGACCCTCTGGCGGTAGCAATCAATAACAGCCCGGTATGACGATAGCCAGTCAATACCCAAAATAATATCAAAACCCGTCATGGGCATGACAACAAAAGGAAAAGGAAGCCTATGGTCGGCGACCTCTATATCACAACCCCTAACACCCTGTTTTAGAATCAACTCACCACCAACAGGCGATACTACACATATAAGAGATGCTAATAGTGCCAACTCCAACTCCAACACAGATGCAAATGCAGCAGATACAAAAGAATGAGACGCACCCGTATCAATCAATACACTAACAACTGAGTTGCAAAACAGAAAGGTACCTCTCACTACTGATGGAGCAGGCATAAGATCCTGCGTGGTAACAGCATACACGTGCCCAGTAGGTCCCTGATCCAACTGCTCACCCCTCAGAGCAAACGACTGCTGCACAGATGGGATGACGAAGCTCCCGGGTTGGCCCTCGAGGCCTGCACAGACTGAGCTGGTTGATAACTCTGCGTCTGCCTAGAACCAGACGCTCCCGAAGTGGCACTCAACTGTGGGCAGAACCTCTTCAGGTGCCCAGGCTGACCACACTGATAGCAAGACAAAGGCTGGCCCCTGCCCTGACTCTGGCCCTGAGGTCTAGCTAAAGAAGAAGCAGCTCGCTGACCCCCTCCCTTCTGCGAGCAAACCGAAGACTTGTGACCCAGTTGGCCACATGCAAAACAAGTCAAGCCTCCCTGACTACCTCTCCCAGAGCCCGTACTCGGCACTAGAAAGGTCGATCTAGCCAAACCACCCTGAGACTGTTGAGGGTTAAAACCCCTCTGTCTCCTGCCGTTACCCTGACCATCTTGGCTCCTCTTGGAGCCTCTCTATCCCTCATCCTCCTCCTGCATCATGAGCTCCATATGAGCTGCAGCATCCATCAAACGTCTATACTCCCGGATGAACAACCCTCTAACCCTCAACTTGAGTCCATGCCTCAACTTCCGCTAAAACTCAAAGCATCGGCGTTCCTCAGACGCCACAAGTTCAGGTGCAAACCTGGATAGACTAGTAAAAGTAGCCTCAAACTCGGCCACTGACAAGCCCTGCTGTTTAAGCTGGCAAAATTGCTTCCTCAACTTCTCCCTAGCAGCTGAAGATAAGAATTTCTCCTGGAAAGCATTCACAAACGCCTCCCATGCACCACCAACACTACCCTTTTCGTACTTCCACCATTGACCCGCATCTCCCTTCAGTTGGAAGGATGCCAAGGTCACCTTTAAAGCCCCGTCCTCGATGCCAAGCATCTCGAACGTCTTCTCCATCTGTTCTAACCACTCGTCAGCCTTATGTGGCTCCTTCGGGTCCCCAACAAACTCGTCCGGGTTAGACCGGAAGAATTCGCTCTTCAAGAAAGAAGGCCCTACCTCAGTAACCTAATTCTCAGCTCTGAGAATACCCAAAGCTCCCGCTATCTCTCAGGCCAAGGCACTCATAGCCTGCTGACCTGTTGGCTCGGCCACATTGGCCTGACCAACTCCCTCCTGCACTGCCGGAACGTCATCCGGTAAAGGCACCTCATGCCTACCATGCCTGCCACGCCTACCACGCCCTCGTCTTGACATCCTAATAAAGGTAACCAAGACCATTAGCACATTCATAAATGTACCGAAGCTATAACACTCACGTCCTAATGCATGGACAACTATAATTCACTCCACATAAGCACATAATCACATAAGCAATTACGAATTTCATTTCCGGATAATGACAGTCCCGAGGCGTTACTAGAGTTCTGGTTAGAAATAGCATTGATCATGTGCTTTTCCAATAAGACTCCCAGACACCCAAGGATCCAATCAATATCCTAGAAACTACATTCCATACCCACATAGTCACATAAGCATGTTATCAATTAAGCACATAGCATATGACACTACATCTAAGTCTCTATCAAGCGAGACAAACCCATTGTGATACTAATCACTTCCCACGTACCCAAAGTATTCGAACCTGGTACGCTCTGATACCAAGTTGTAACGCCCACAAAATAATACATAAAACCAATCACTTGACATGCATTAATATAAAAGAAACCAACCATTTATATTCATCAGAGTAAATTTTACAATAGTATTACATGTTAACAACAAAAGCAAATGCCCTATGGGCTTACAGCTTTCCAAGTCAACACTTGGTTACACAAAAGAAGAGAACTAACTCTATACAAAATAAGCCCTTGGCTTGATATACATGTAATACAGACAAAATAATCAAAAAAAGAGTCTTCACCTCTCATCATCATCCAAGCTATGTCCTTGGAGGTGGCATGCTACCTGTACCTGAAAATAATGTCCCATATAGGGTGAGCCACAGCCCAGTAGGAATATGCTAAACACGGTATGAGCAATAACTAAGACATTAGCAATTGATAAATGTTCAATTTCCATAAATCAATTCACATCCCATTTCCATTTCATGACCACTATGTTCATGTTTCATTCCAGTTTCCATTTCTTATCAATTTCACAATTTACATCAACGGCTCAAAACCTGGCCAATCACTTATATGAGATAGTGACTCATATTTAAACATTTTCCATTCTACAATAGATAAACATACTAATTGTATCAACATCTCAACAGATAAGCATACAAGCTGTATCCTCTCAACAGATATGCATATTAGCTATATCAACACTTCCAAAGATAAGCATATGAGCTGTATCAACACTTCCAAAGATAAGCATATGAGCTATATCAACACATTATCTGACAAGCATATAAGCTGTATCAGTGGAGTCCATCCCCCTATCTCCTCCCAAACAACATCCGGTTTAGAGGTCCATCCCCTATCTTCCCCTAAACCGTGGAGTACATCCCCTATCTCCTCCCACACACACAACATATATATACAATGGTCATATACACAATCAATCAATACATAACGTCAATGTATTCTATCAACCGTCATACTCTATAACATATCCAATTGATTAGTTTTAGTTTGCCTAATCATCATGCATTGTCTACAACAATCAAAACTACCCTCCACCGGTAGTCCAAGCAATTATTTCTAAAGAGATAATAAAAGCTCCAACAGATAAAATATCAATGTTTTCAAAAGTGAGCGATTAACAAATCCAACTCCGCTATTCTAGTATATAATGAGCCAATTTCATTATTTCCAACTAAATTCCATAAATCCACAATTTTTCCAAATTAATTATACCAATTAATTTATATAAGAAATTAGGGTTTTCTACCTCATTTCCCAATATTGACCCAATGGTCTATATATCAATAACCAACAACAATATCATTATTTTGAAACCCAAATTACATATTTTTGAATCAAAATAACAAAGCCCCCTTTCACCATTTTCAAACCCTAACTTCCCAAAATCAACCATTTAACAAAATGCCCAAATATCTAGGTCAAAACCCATAGTAGTGAGTAGCAATCCCTACGTAATTGAGTTAGTACTCATCCTTTTTGTGTCCAAGTGTTAGCTTGGAACGATGTAAGCCCTTAGGGCATTTATTTTGATGTTGCAGGATGTTACATGTGATGTCTTTCAATAAGAATACTCTGATGAATAACTCAAATGATTCGTTTTCTTTTATAAATGCATGTTAATGTTATGGTTATTATGGGTTTATTTTGAGGGCGTGACAAAAAGTGATTTTAAAATGCCTAGCTGCCAACTAATATACGGTATTCCCGCTCGAGCGAAGAACACAACGCTCGAGCGCACGAGCAAAAAACTAGGTACGCTCGAGCGCAAGAAGGCTCGCTCGAGCGCCAAGACACAAGAATAAAGTGCATCCGCTCGAGCGCGAAAACCAGTCCGCTCGAACGTAGATTTCTCCCTCCCAGAACTTACACCAAAGAGTACTACCCGCTCGAGCGCCAGATCACCCGCTCGAGCATAAAGAAACCCGCTCGAGCGTAAAAATCACACCTGCAGAAGTTTTGCAGGGGCAAGAAAAACTGGAAGTGTGCAATATTCGCTCGAGCGCTATATGACCCGCTCGAGTGGAACGACCAAAAACCTGGCAACAAGAATTTAGATCAAGGCTCAACCCACTTGCTCAAAACATACTCAACCCATCCCAAAACTCAAACAAAAGAAGTAAAGGATGACAACAAGGTATACAACCACCAACTCCACGGAACCAAAGTCCGGAATACGACAAAACAGTAAAGGGACAACCGGGATCGCTATAGCCCTCCTTTGATGTGTTTCACTATTTTAATTCCATATTTATCAGCACTTGTCAGGAAAATGATAAGAGTAGATAAAATAACAGACATCAATGGTGCAATGGCCGGCAACCAAAAGAGTTTCTTGCCCCTTTTGATGAAGACAGCAGCTCAGCCATTGCACAGCCACAACCACAACACAGCAGCTCCAGCAGAGCAGCAGCTGGAGCTCCATCTGCTCCACAGCAGCACAGCCGCAGCCGCAGCACAGCCACAACCACAACACAGTAGCTCCAGCAGAGCAGCAATCACAACAGCTCCAGCAGCTCCAAAGCAAAGCAACAGCCACAACAGCTCAGCAGCGTTAGAGCAATAGCTCCAATAGTCACGTAAGTATTATCAAGGCTAGGTAGTTAGTTTGTTAGAGTTTAACTATAGTTTAGTTAGACGGGTTATGGTTAGGTTAAGTAGATCACTCTTGTATATATACTATCTTCTCTATATAATGTTCATTCATTCAGAAAATCAATAAAATAGATATTTTCTTGTTTTCTCTTTACCTTCTACCCAAATCACAGAATCACAAAGTAAGTATACACTAGAATTGTGGTAGACAAAGAAATTGTATAGACCACCACCTATGTTTGATCTTGGTTATTTTTATTTTTATGTGAAAAAATAAATAAATAAATAAATACAACAACAAAAAGGAAATCGCCAATTATGGTTATTACTTACCAGGAATCTAGTAATTAAAATGAAAGCTGTAGCGATTCCAAACCATTCTTTATACGGTACACCCTAAGAGAAGCACGACGAGTTTAAATTCATAAATGAAAAATCAAAATCTTCATGAATCAGATCTGCAACTAATCCATTTATACTATTTACAATTGGTCTTTGACTCTTTGAGACATATGGCCAAATATAGAGAAGATTATTTTTTTTTCTCTAAGTAAGAGAATACAGAGAAGAACTAAAAAGGACTCTAGATGTCGATTCATGCCCCAACAATGACTAAGGCAAGCAAAATCATTAGTAATGATTATCATAGATTCTTCCAGTTAATAACTTATTTTATACATCATCTCCAAACACATATTGATAAAACAGTGCAAATGCTCATATAATTCACAGTTAAGGCATCTTGAAATTCTAACCTCGCTGATAAATATAGTAGAAAATGCAAATACGAACAAATTTCAAGGGCAGCTCTTTAAAAAATAAATTGTTAAACAAGAAAACAAATTGACATCACAACATTCTTTACTTGTTCTGTGGCTGGAGAAGTTAACACAGCAGCATTTGCCCTTAGAAGAAAAAGCTTCAAACTACATATGAACACACAAGAGAACACACAGCAGCAGGACTCTTATAAATATTAATGACAAATTAACAGTGCTATTGCATTATACTAGAAAACCTTCAATAAGAGAGTTTTACCCATATCCCCTAGTAGATGCACAAACAAGAGCCCCACTATCTAACAACATATGAACACACTCCGGCCATCCTTGTCAGGCTGCCGAGTGCAATGGGGTTGCTCCATTTTTATCTCTTATATTCACAACCCTTGCAAATCCCCTGCCATCAACTCCAAATCAAACCAAACAAAACAACCATAACTTTAGCAACTTCATGGATATTCTCTACACACAAGCATATATGAGTGTGTGTGTGTGTGTGTGTGTGTAGAGAGAGAGAGAGAAAGAGAGAGAGGGTCACCAGGAATGTGCAACAGAGGTGGAAAGGGCAGCAGAAAGAATAGCTTGTAGGCAATCTAGATGGCCATAGAAAGCAGCATAATGCAAACAGGTGCTTCCATGGAGTGAATCAAACATTAAAATCTAATGAAATTTCACACACAACCAATGATCAATTTATCTTCTACAATTCAACCAATGATAGTATTTTGTTTGCATAAAAAACAAGTATTGTAAGTGAGGGTGGCATAGACTAGACACAACAGTATGACGAGATTTTGTTCATTACAAAGGAGAAAATTAGGGCATTGGACACAACTGTACTCCAAAAGAGTATACGTACATCTTGGACAATTGAAATCTTTCATGCATGGAAGAATTCTCTTTATGTATAGATTCCTAATAAAAGAAAAAATAAAGAAAATTTGTTAGAACTAAAAAAAATTGCCATTTAAATGGGAAGTATGCAGGAGGAAGGAAGAAACTAAAATAGAGTCATCTTACATGTTCTCCTGACAAGCAAGCTAATCAGGGCCTTGCCATGTAAAGTTATTGTCAGAACTATATAATTAATTAGAAATAAATGGAAAATATATAATTGAATAATTTTAGGGACACTTAATTTAGGAAGATTTGTAACTTAAAAAAAAAAAAACATATACATATACATATACATAAGAAGCCCAAATCCACTCACAAAACCCCAAAGCCCAAAACTAAAACCCCAAAACCCCTTACAATAACAAAAAATAGCAATTGTAACCATACATCAAACCATCCAATTTCACCTCCCAAACATATATATAACTATAGAAAGACAGAGAAACCCTCTTTATGTTTTCCAGAAATAATAGCTACTTCCTAATATAGTCTAGTTACTACGTACTTTTGTACAGCCATTTTTCAACTAGAAATTAACAATGTTGAACAAGTGAATTTTTATCATTATTGCTATTACAGTAAGTAAGCTAGCACGTTTATTTATTTTAAAGCATTGAGCTTGAGGTTATTGATCAATCCCTATAACCCACCAAAAAGGACAAGGTCTGCCAAGAAGCACTTTGCAGTGCCAAAAATATATATCACAAGCATGGTACAAATAATTTGACAATATTAGCAAAGGAGTGCAAGCTGCAGATAGAATCCTACCTAGGCCTCCTGTCCCAGATGTGTCAACATTTATAAAAGCTCCAATTGTGTCACGCCATTTATGTGATGTCATGAAGCCATGTGAACCCTAAAATATTGGAGACCATTAACAAGTTCAATGATTATTAGCTGGAGAACACAACACTAGACTCCTATTAGCTTAAAATAGGCAATTGTGCAAAATAATACATTACCATTTACAACATTTGCCATTTGCAGTCTATCATACATTTTAAAACAACAGTGGCTTATCTAAAGAAATAAATAAATAAACAACAGTGGTAAACAGATCATGATCTGCCAAAATGAGTAGTCACAGCACACAAGTCATGATGGGCCTATTGACTTTCTGCACATGCTTCCATTCAAGTAAAAAAGTAGTTACTCAACATTAAAATATATATGATCAAAAAGACATTGAAATATATTAGCAATCAAAACCAACAAAGAATATGCAATGTGAGTAGAACTATCCTATTTTTCGCTTCGTCCACTTCGCCTAAAGTGTACAAATAACCCCATTTATAGTGCAGGCAATGTTGGGATTGAAATTAAATGCAAGGAAAGGAAGAGGAATAAAATAACTACGCATTTATGTAAATAAAGATATACATTGAAATGGATTAACTTTGCAAAATATCAAGCCAGAATCCTGTGACACTGACAATATGCAAACCATAATCTTTATCCCTCTAACTCTCTCTATGTTTTGAAGGAAAATATTGACAAACAAAAAAGATGATTAATAATGGAAAGAAAAATAGAGGAAATCTGAAAGTTGTGTTACAAATGGCAAATCTCAAAAGGTGACCAGATTGCAGTAGTACAAATTTTGTTTCCAGAAACCACTTTGCCTTGCTTTAATAACTTTTAGATCCATAGGAGAAAAAACAAAGTACTGTTTAAAACATAACCAAATGCAACATAAATTTTGGGCATCATACTTACACAAACTTCAAATTCTTTCTAGTTATGTCATTAGGAATTTCTCCCACTAACTTGTTAAAATTGACATCCCTGTCCAAATCACAATACAAAGATATATATATATATAGAGAGAGAGAGAGGACAGACCGTCGAGGCAGACAACATCAAAGGGTTGAACACGGTGGTAATCGAAGAGAGCTTCGAGTTGTTCTTCGGTTGATTCAGCCTATAAAATAAAGAAATCAAAAATCAAGTTCAGAAACCCTAGAAAAAAAAAAACAAAACAAAAACAGTACTTGGAAGATTGGGGGGCTAGAACTTGAAGTTTCGCACCATTAGGGTAGAAGAAATTGAGGTCGAAGTCGTAGTAATTGTCGAGGAAGAAGCAAAGGTGGGAGTTGGGATCGTGTGGGGTTTGAAGGAAGCAGTTCTGATTGTAGAGTTGTTAGGAGGGTTTGAGAGTGTTGGGGTAGCGTAGTGATTGGAGTACGAGGGGGTCGAGGTCGAGGTCGAGGTCGAGGTGAGATTGGGTGAGGTTTGGTGGTCACAGACTATGTATTAGGGAGAGAACAAAAGGAGGTGTAAAACAAAATAGGGCACCAATATTAAATAGGAGTGCTAAATTTGAAATATCAAATATTTTAGTTCTTTTGGCGACCAAAACAATTTAGTCGTTGAAAATAAATGTTTGGCGACCAAATTTTTGGTCGCCAAAGAAAAAAATAATTTTTTAATTTTTTGTTTGGCGACTAAAAATTAAATTAAATAATTTTTCATCTGTGTCAGAGAGAGAATTGGAAAATGAAAACTAATTGGCGACTAAAATATTGTTGTAGCCAAAGCTTAATTAACGGCGACTAAAATATTAGTCGCCAAAAGTATTAATTTGGCAACTAACTTTTTTTTGGTCGGAAAAAATAAATATACGACGACTAATTTATTTTGGGTCGTTGAAAATAAGTTTTTGGCGACCAAAATTTTGGTCACAAAAGATAAAAAATAATTTTTTATTTTCCATTCGGTGACCAAATAGTTTTAGTAACCAAAACTCAATATACGACGACTAAAATATTTTTAGTCGCTAAAAATAAGTGTTTGGCGACCAAAATTTTGGTTGCCAAAAGATAGAAAATAATTTTTTATTTTTCACTCGGTGACTAAATAGTTTTAGTAGCCAAAACTCAACATACGGTGACTAAAACATTTTTAGTCGCTGAAAATAAGTTTTTGGTGACCAAAATTTTGGTCGCCAAAAGATAAAAAATAATTTTTTATTTTTCATTCGGAGACTAAATTGTTTTAGTAGTCAAAACTCAATATACGGCGACTAAAATATTTTTTTGTCGCTAAAAATAAGTTTTTGTCGACCAAACTTTTGGTCGTCAATTCCACAACCAACTTATTTTGATTTCCTGAGACCAACTTAATTTTTGGTTGCCAAAAGGTGACCTTCCGCGACCAAATTTGTAATTGGTTGCCAAAACCATACCACTTTCTGTGACCAACTTTAATTTAGGTCGCCAAAATATCATCTTCTACGACCAACTCATATTTGGTCGCCAAAAACAATGATCATTCGCAACTAACTCATATTTGGTAGCCAAAATGTAACTTTTAGCGACCAATTTTTATATTGGTCGCGAAAAGTAGTTGCTAAAAGTGTAGATTCTTGTAGTGGGAGTAAGATAAAAATATAGAATAATTTCAGAATATATCTTGAGAAAAAAAAAATCTCTCTAAGGTTATGCATATGATCAGAATATAATTTTAAGAAAAGCCCCCTTGAGGTTATGACGCTTCATAAAAAAAAATCAGAGAATAGTTTCCCAATCAATAATACCAAGTGCCATTAAGATTCGGCCAAATACAACTGCACCGAGTGTGCCAGTAAAAAAAGAGAAAAGACACGTGAAACCAAATGCTTCATACCAGGTAAAAGCAATAGTGATACACAACAAAGAGTTTGTAGCACATGTAACCACAAAACAAGTATTACAAATTGCAAAAATAATTTTAGCATTCTAGTGGATGTAAAGATCATCGACAACGATGAAGATCGGTGACAATAGTGAAGATCGGTGATAATGATGTAGATTTTTGACAATGGAGGGGATCGGAAAGGACGGTGAAGATTGGTAATGGATATGATGTAGATCAGAGATAGATCTTGGTAGATCGGCAATGGATTTGTGTATATTGGAGATAGATTTAGATGGATGATAGTGGTGATGGAGTTAGTGTCGAAGGATGATAGGAAGCGAGAGCGGGCGAGAGAGAGAACGGAACGATGAGTGGGTGTGTGTGTGTATGTGTGTGTATGTGTGTGTATGTGTGAGTGAGAGAGAGAGAGAGAGAGAGAATTTATTTTTATTTTTTTAAAAAAAGCACATAATTTTTTTTAATAATAAAGCAAAAAAAAATTTAAAATATATAAACATTATATAGAAGTATTTAGACTACTAATGTCACGATCCAAACCCGCCCCTATAAGTTTAGCGTCATAATCAGCCAGTAATCCTTGGATTACCAAAGGTCTCTGAACAGATTATCACAAAATAAGGGGCTGCATAAGCAAATATAGAAACATACATAGTCCATAGAGCTGTGCAGACATACATGGGACAGATAATTTAAAACCTTGTATATATATATATATATATACATATATGACGTCATATACATCCATCCAACCTTGTCATTATACACAAAGTAGAACAAAAGAACTAGTCACAAAATAACAAAAGTCTTAAGCTTATGTCTTGGTTTACAAAACTCGACCACTGAACTCTTTCCAGAACCTCCTCGGAAGGCACAATGGTTGGCCGACAAAACATAGACCCCAAGTCATCAACTTTGAGCCTGGTCACCTACATACATAATACATATAGTGAGCGAAAGCTCAGTGAATAATAACATAGTAAAAATTTTAATGAATGATGTCCAGTTTCATATCATACCAATCAGAGAGATAAGCATAGTCGTATTAAAAGCAGAGTCATGTTCATATTCGTATTCAAATTATGTGTGGTACTTCCATTAGCATTAACATATCACTTTGGTCAAACATATCAAGTTCCATAGTAAAACCTCTAGTACCAGGTAACATATCTCATACATGGGCCACGGTATTGTTCTCCCGGGTAAGGGCCTGGACCACGGTATTATTTCCCCCAAGTAAGGGCCTCATGACCATAAGCCACAGTATTATGTCCCCTGGGTGAGGGCCTCTGCTAAGGACACCACAAATACATTTCAAAGATATGGATCATCATTCAAAGAATCACAAAATACCCTTTTATATCATTCAGAAACAATTCATATCATATCATAATGTTCAGAAAGTATTTCATATCAAACATAGCTTTACTAAGTTATTACTCACAAATAACTGCACAGATAGCTTTGATAGCAACCAATGGATTAACAGCTCACGGCGTGTGACCTACACAAACATAACATATACATATACTGAAACACGCACTTGGATCGTACTTAACTTATTTCGTTCCGTTCTTAGTGTGTTTGTAAGTCTTATCCTCATTATTGTGTCTCAATCATGGCCTAGGAATGCCTAGGATGCAATGAGGATGCCAAAACATGTTGTTCAACACTTGGGTAAATTTGCTAAAAATAGGGTCTTCGCTTGAGTGCAACTTTTTTCACTCGAACGGATGTGCAAAATATATGTGGTCGCTCAAGCGCAACTTCGGTCGCTCGAGTGGTCTGTAAACTTCTGTAAAAGTACCGATTGTATGATTTCTTTGCTCGACGGTCGCTCGAGTGTAAGACTGAGGTCTTCGCTCAAATGTAACTCTTGTCACTCGAGCAGTCTTCAAATCATGTTAACTTTTAGGAGCATGCATTTTACGCTCGAGCCAACTTTTGCTCGCTCGAGCGGAAGTGCAAACAAAGGGTGGTCACTTGAGCGCAAGTTCTGTTGCATGAGCGGTGAGGCAGAATTCTGAAATTTCCAAATTGCACTTCCAAGTCCAAAACTCAAATTCAAAGCTATAATTCACATCCTTTTGGCCCCAAAACTTGAGGAAACATATGTAAACTTGTAAAACGTGCTGAATTCAAAATCATTTTGCAAAATTAAAGCCCAAAAGTATGCCAATTGTGCAAACTCAAACTTAGAATTTCAAGAACATAACATGTATGAATTTATCTTGGCTTCAAAGCTTTCAATACATGAGCTATTGAGGTAATTTGGTATGAAACTTGATGAATTCTCAAAACAAAGGCAAGATGAACATATGCATGTTGAAATTCTTTGAAATCAAACTCAAAACCTCATGAATTATGCATTCATGCAATGACTCTTCCCAAATTCCTTAATCTAAGCTCAATTCTCATGTTTAGCCATCTTAATTTCTTGAACCCTTTCACATATGTCTTGAATACAAAGCTTAAGGACAAGATTTTTCACCTAGAGTCTTTAATTCTTTAATGTTTAGTGATGCTCTTAAGCAATTCTCCAATCTCCTAGCAATTTCCTTCCAAAACTCAAGATTTGGTCTCAAACTCTCTTGGTCCCTTCCTCTCTCACGTTTTTAGGTTCAAAGTGATAAAGAGAAGATGTCTCAAAGTGGTGTATAAGCCATATATAGGCTCAATTAGGGGACTTAATTAAGCTTGGCTTAACTTAAACAAATTTGCATTATTTTATTCTAATTATTTCGTTCCGAATCGAATTTCAATTAAACTTACCATAAAATTCTAAAAATTTCAAATAACACAGAAACCAAGTCAATTTCACGTCCTGTGGCCGATAAGGCCTTCAATTCACAAAACAAAACGAAAACACAAACAATATTTCTACGATAAACAAATAGGAACGCAAATAATGCAACACATATGCAATTAATTTAGAATTTCATCTTAATTATTTACTAAACATTCTTAATCATGGTTTAATAGTTAATCACAGGTCGAGATTGTTACAACTAAGTAAGAAAACAATGAGCAATTACAAATCTGTGCAATGGAGAAAAACAATGAGTGATGATACTAATAAGTGATCTTTAAAAATGGCAACTCTCATGATATCCTACATAATCATCCATTTCAATGTTACTAATGGGTAGATGGATAAATTCAGACCAAACTCGTATTAATAATGGACAAAATAGACAATAACAGTATTATATAGCAGTGAAAGAGCATGCCTATACGTTTGATACCAAATGTCACTGATGTTACTAATACCTATATGCACTCTAAGAGATTTATGGCGCAAACATTACTTAGAATACACATTATTGCTCACAATAATTTAAACTCATTATAATCTCATAGAGCTAAGGTAATTCCATAACTAAGGCATATCTAACATATAACAGTTCATATCATGAAATCAATATATTTAGTGCAAAGTTAAGCATAAGCATGATTTTCTTTTTCTCTTTTTGGCAAGAGTATATTTCTCCTCGTTCATCATCAAAGAGTATATATTACAAACCATATGATGCATAATTAAATTTATGAAAAATCAATCCCTTCCATATCTTTGTAATGAAAATGTTAGTTCAAAGGATATGAGATGAAAAATCTAGAAATC